CTTCTCCTTGGCTGAGAAAAATGGATATTTATTTTGGAACTAAAGAAAATGTAAAAGAGAAAGAGACACAGATGTTTTTAACCCGGTTTAGTTTTGGTTTTGATTTGAGACCAAATCTAGCTCGGCCAATAGTTAAACCGTACGGAAATTGAATTGGGATGTGTGACACGTGGGGCTTTGAATTTGTCCAAACTAGTTAGTGAAAAGTCAATAAAAGAAGGAAAATCACTTTTGCAAGGGGGGGTCAAATATTTCATGTTATGGGAAATCAGTAATTAATTACGCATATGTGGAAATAATTGTACGAAAATAAGTAGAGTTGGACCGGAGCCTCGACAAATCTGGATAGGCTTTCTAGTTTGGTCCAGAGAGAATCTGAGGCAAGTTCCTTAGCGAACTATGGGCCTGAACTGAAGTCAAAATTAAATTTGAAAAAGAAAGGGGCATTCCGAGAATTGAACTCGGGACCTCTCGCACCCTAAGCGAGAATCATACCACTAGACCAAATGCCCATTTCTGTACGCTAATACATACATGTCACTAAAAAGTAACATTTCAATTTTTAACCTTTTTTTTTTTGGTGGATGGAGATGCCCTTAGATTTCGTATTATTAGCACAAAATTAAAACCTCTGTTATTATTGCTTTAGTGAAAGTGTATCATCTAAAATACATCCAGTGTGAAATTGATGAACCAACTTTATTATATACATATATCATAAATGTGACCCAGTTTTCTAGATAAAATTAGGTTATTTGTAAATTGCTTACTAACAATCGTTAATAGTACACACTGGGAAATCTGTGTTTCGTTGTTTATATTACCTTAGATCAAATCCTCCCTTACGCATAAGCACCAGAAAAACCCTAACTAAGAGTTTGGAATTAAAAAATACTAAGAGTTTCGAACCTTCCAAATGACTCCGAAGCTCTTATAAATAAATTTTAATTACTAAAAGTAAAAAATTACGAGACGACGATAAATAATCTCCGTATATATATATATAACAAAGTCCC